CCTCTACGCCACAATCTCTGCCCCCAGGCCAATCCGTGCCCAAAATCAAGGGGTGCATCAGGCGGGAACTAAGCGCAGCCTTAACAGTATGCTTTTTACCCTTGTATCTAATTTCCACCGGCACAACCGGGTATCTGTGAACATCCCCATGCACACACCTAATATCCACCCCAGGCCCCAGGTCGAACCAGGTTCGGATGAATTATAGACTGCATACAGACTGAATCCACCATTGCCTGATGTATACCCTATTGAATCCTTACCGGAACGCTGTATGTCCCTCCTGAACTGGGAGAGGGTGTTGGTGGGCCAGCAACCTGGATCACCTGACTGACCTCACTCCTGCCCCAACGCCTGAGGAACCCTCTGTGGGTCAAGAGCAGCACCCGTAGCGGCTGGACCCTGAGATGGAGAGAAAACAGAGGGTAGGTTAGCATGAGGCAGAGGGAGAGGCTGGGCAAACGTATCCTGACAAGGGGTAAGCGGGGCTGTGGGTCTCCTGCGGGGCGCCGGTACTGGTCGGGTGGGTGCAGAGGGCCGCCTCNNTCCTCGGCGAGGGTGATGGCGGCCTCCAAATCTGCCGGTCGGTGGCACTCCATGGTCCTGGTCGGGAGCCCCTCCACGAACTGTTCTAGCACCACCTGCTCCAGCATCTGTCTCTCACCAGCGGATTCCCCCGGCTGCAGCCACCTGGAGGCAGCGTCCTTCAGCTGCTGTGCGTAGACAAAAGGACAGTCGGACGGTCCCAGGGCGGCGGACTGGTGGTGATCCTTGGGGCAAAAACCCATCCGATCCAGGATGGCTCTCTTGAACCACACCCACCTCCACATGTTCTTTATTATTAGGAGGAAAAAAAGATAGCATCTAGCTACGACCTACCTACTGGTGGGACAGAGAGGCTGCGGACTGGTTATAGTGTGACAGACAGGCTGTTTAACCAAGAGCACCTTTGTGGTGCCCCCCGTTATGTTTCTGAGAATAACACCCTCAGAGACACCGGAGGGGGTTCTTTGCCTCCAAGGAGATATTCTTTATTCAGAAGCAGACGACCTCAGAGGTTATTATCTTGTTTATACCACAACCACTCTGTATGATAAACATGATATACAGACATACCTTCTCGGGTTTTGCAAAAAAATAAATCCAACACTTTGTTGTTGATATGTAATCAGTAGTTACTAAAAACTTTATAGGACAAAGAGTAAATGAAAGAGATAAAGGAGACAATGTACAAAACTAAGAGAGTTGTGAACAAAGTGAGTGTCATGCTTTAAGATGTTCACTGATTTAACTTTTCTGAGATGTGGGATGCTGCTACAGTCAGGGAGCAACAGTAGCAACTGCCATTCCAGCCTTTAAATAAACTAAAATGAGATGTATACAGTGGAAATGTGTTAAAGAACCCTCCACTGCAGTCTGCAGTAAAGGCTAGCCCTGGATATATCACAGACATGTAATGCCTCCCCTGGAGATTCTCACAACCCATTGGTACACATGTCACTGAGCTGAACTGTGACCCATGTGGAAGTCGACTGCCAGGGTGAGGAAAGGACGTTTGGACAAAGACAGGGGGAAAAATCAAACCTCTTCAACTAATTGTGCTACCTTCACCAGCTCCTGCTCGCACAGCGGGTTCCCTCCTGTGCCCCTCTTGACTGATGTGCTGAGAATTAGGTTCTGTCACTTAAAGACTCACCAGGGCAACACCCTGTAGACTTTATACCGGGCCAAGACAGGGGGCCGCCCCTGTGGTATTTGGAGAACGACAATGAGGTCACTTTCAGTTTCTGCCTGCTACGCATGACTGCTGTTGCAGTGGACACTGACAAATTAGTACTTTGAAGTACAGAAATAGTATTGTCTATTTTACTAGAGGATGGGAAACAGAAGTGTTATGCATAACAAAACTACTGCAGCAACATAACTATTTACTGTTCAAAACAAATAAAAGAATATAATATCACTTGGAATGCTTAATATAATGAATGTAAGAAGCTAATGTTTATTTTAAAAATGCAAGACTTTCATAAATTAATGTGAGTAAAATTTAAAGCTTTTCTCACATTGGAAAACTGTGTGGATAACAATGTGCCTTTTAGCAAATTTAACTATAGTAAGAAATAGTACAACACTTGACAATAGAGGGAATTGTGAGAAGAAGAACACTTTGATGCCCTACGGGAAATGGAGGGATTGGGTGCTCATTGGACCAAAAAAGTCATGTGGACAGAGCGAAGATGAAGAACTCACTTAAATATTAAGTGACAATGGAAACAAACACCAATCCTGAACTCACAAGATAAACAAAAGCATGGATAATTTGTTCAACCTATGTTTAAATTTTGCTGACCAGGAACTCTTGTAGTCATGCAAGCAATGACTGTTGTCTGTCAGAAGCAAAACCTCTTAGGGAAGAGGTTCGGTCAATAATGTTAGACACAGGAGACTGAGTGTTTGCATCCTAGCTCCTAACTGTCAACCAGTGTTTTTGACCGGGACCACAATATTTTCCCTAACCTCAAATAAGTGCTTTTAGTTCCAAATTGAACCTGAACCATAGAGGATTGGACTGATTAAAATTATCTCTAAATTCCTGTTATATAATGTATTTCAGCCCTTGCAGCAAAATTAATTAAACAACAGGGGAAAAAACTCATTAATTATTAGGGGGACAATAAATCAGCAGACCACTGCATATGATCTAAGTATTTTTTTAGGCTTTTATTGCCTTTATGATAGTGACAGCTGGAGAGAGACAGGAAAGGGGGGAAGAGAGAGAGGGGAAGACACGCAGCAAAGGGCTGCAGGTCGGATTCAAACCCTGGGCCGCTGCAGCAAGGACTCAGCCTTGGTGCATGGGTCGCCAGCTCTACCCACTGAGCTAACCGGGCGCCCAAAGTAACTTTTTTAAGTGAACTTTTTTCTAAATGTGACAACATTTAAATGACTCGTACTGGATTGGGTGAATAATTTGTACACAGTATCTGAAACCTGCTGACAGTCGATTGATTGTCGATCGTTATCTGATCAACCTTTGTTAATTTATGGAATGTATTTTGTTAATTACCCAGTTAGACCTTTTGTGCTTAAGAAGACTTATAAGTGTAAGTTCCTTATAGAGCTTTAAAGGACCTCTCATCCATGCTGGCTTTAAAATTAAGATATAAAATTAAAGAGTTTATTACTTACCATCTCATTTGGCTTTTCAGATCCGAAGATTTTTTTTTTTTAATAAATTTAATAAATTAGAATGACGTAAGATTCAGTGTTTAAGTTAATTGGCCCTACTGCCACGCCTACCATTGAGCCCTTAAATTAGATTAAAAGTTTCCAACATCATCAGTTTTGTGATCTTTGTGACCCAAAATCAATTCTGCTGGAGTGACTGTGACACATGATGCCTATACTGTTTGCTGCGAATGTGTCTGGCAAAAATAAATTAAAATACTTGAACTATCACACTTACAAATTTTTTGCTCTGTGTTACTCTTTAATCTACTTAGTGAGGATAGAAAAATCACCCCACAGTGAGACATAGACATGATTTAATGTTATATAATTCATGAGCAGCTACAGTATACTTTACTATGCAGTAGTTCAGCCCAAGGTTAGGTTCTTTCCATTAGGCTGATTAGACACTGATACAGCTATCCAATCACTGTTTTTTCAGGCCAAATTCTAGAACCTCAATCTAATTACTTTGCTGTATGGCAACCTCCCATCTCTTTAGTCCAGCTAAGCTTTGTACCAAAGTAAGATTACACAACAGATTTTGGTTTAGAGGTATGCAGCATCATTCAGAATCGCATGCTAGCTCCGTCAAGTTTTGTACATCCTTTTAACAGATCCTGCTCCAAAAAGCATAAAACCTACAATTGCAGGTAGTATTAAAAATATAATAACATAAAATAAATAGAATACAATTAAAATGCAGTATTGGACTTAATAGTTATTGTTAATACTTTTGGCTTGTTTTGTTACTACAGTTCATTAATGGAACCACGTCAATATTAAATCCATCAGAACTGAGAAGATCACTCATTGACCTTCAACACCTTATTGACTTTGAAGTGGACATAAACAAACCATTCTCCAGGATGTAAACAAAGTTGCAGGTCAATAGCCAGTCACAATGATCCCTCCATGCTTTACCTGCCCTGCCGGCATGAACACCTTGTCAGTTCATCCCTGGCAGTCTCTCCCATTGAGCTATATTGGTGTTCAGGAGAACGAGGTCTTTATTGGCGTCTTATCTGGGCTAAAAAGGATCAAGCTAAGAGGATCAGTATCTGGCTGACCACTTGGAGATGTTGTGGTGTGTAGCTGTGGAAACTTAAAGGAGAAACAAGATCTACTTGAGGCACTCATTCATACATAGACTACTGTGTGTTGTTACAGGTTAACACAATAATTATGTGACAAGGGCATGTTTAGAAGGGCAGCCTCTCTTTCTTCACTTATATGATTCAATAATCTATGAATAATCCATTTTCCGTCAGAGCAGCACAACAAAAAACCATAAACTTTTAATAGATAATTAAAGGGAAAGAGACTTGACAGCACTGGACACATGATGGGATTGCCAAGTTAATTTTTGCACTAACTGCTCAGAAATATAATATTGTCTTAATAAATAAAGTAAAAGTTAATCAATATGTAAAATATAATATATATATATTCTATAAAAAAATATAGAATAAAAGATATCAAACTTTATTCTCTCTCTCATAAGTGAAAACTGTGCTCTTCTAGTCAATTTCTGTTGTAGCAATGCTGGCTTCTTAAGTAGCATGTTGAAAGATAGACATGGGAGGAAGAGGTCAGTCAAAATCAAAACAGCAGCCCCTATTGGCTAATTGTTATTGCTCACAAGCCCATTATAATCGCATCACAAATAGTCAGCAAGTCTGTGTTCTTACAGGATCTTTTGTATGCATTCTACAGCTCTGTCTCCTGTCTCTTCCTCCATTCATTAAATCCCTCCCTCCCTCCTCCCGCAGTGCTGTGCTCAGACAGAGTGGGCCAGGTCACCAAGACATATCATGACATCAAGGCAGTCACCCACCTGCTGGAGGAGGTAAGAGAGAGACACAGCAGGTTAACGGGATTATAGGGGATTAAATTTATATGCCTCACTGACCATCGCTGTTTGTCACCCTATTCAGCACGCTTGTTTCTGGCTGTGCTGTTGTTAAAAAAAATGTGCAATGTGATTTCCTTGCTAAAACTGGGTTTTTGTATCTGCTAAATTTAGACAATAAATAAATAAATAAATACTATTATGCATTTTTCATTAGATTAAATGCAGTATTTACATTTCACTTTGCAGAAAGAGCGGGATCTCGAGTTAGCAGCGCGGATCGGTCAGTCCCTCCTGAAGCAGAACCAAGAACTGACGGCACGCAATGAAATGCTGGATGAACAGCTTGAAATAGCAAAGGAAGAGGTATAAACAAACCTATAGTACACACTAGTACAGTCACACTGATCACACATGATTATATATATAATACAGTCTGCTGAGCTCAAATGATATTAGGTTACTGTTTTTCTAGATTGCTCAACTTCGTCATGAGCTCACGATGCGAGATGACCTCCTTCAGTTCTACGCCAGCACTGAGGAGATCGAGAACGCTGAAGCGCGCTCACCGTGAGTTTACACACACACACACACACACACACAGTACATAGAGGTGGAAATATTTTGCTACTTGAAAACATATAGTATTTAGTTTAACATTTAGGAGGATCGTTTGGCAAAAATGTAATATTATATTAATAGGTATGTTTTCATTAGTTTATAATCACCTAAAAATATGTTTTTGTTACTTTTATAATGAGCGGTTGTTATCTACAGAGGGAACAGGTCCTCTTCCATGGTAGCCGCCATGTATCTACACTAGCCCAGAAGCCAAACACTGACTCTAGATCCAGATAAGGCCTTTTGCTAGTTTAAATTAGATAAAGTCTCCTACACACTTCTCATCACATTCTCATTCCCACATCATCAAATACAGACGCAAGCAGTGTTAAGTTGTTTGCAGTCTGCAACTTCACAGATAGATGTAAATCCTTTACACTAGTCCATTAAAGCAAAGTGTAGGTTTGTGACTTAGTCCAAAATAAATAAGAATGAGTGTAATTCATGGTACTCACTGACTGAACAATTACCACACTGAAACAGAAAATACACCTCATTTTCTTTTCAAAACGTATAGAGCAACCTCTTGCCTTTCAAAAAACTCATAACATGTTGTTGTGTGAGGAATAGAATAGACAGAAACCAATTATTTGTGCTGTACCATAACACAAAATGAATTAACAACAGCCTCCCTGCTATAGTTATTCAGTGGTATAAAAGAGATCCCTTAATGTTAATAATCCTCAGTGCACTGAGTTTGTGTGTAAGTAAACATACGTCACAGCCTCTCCATTGATCCTCTCTAAGTTTCTGGCTAAGCTTTCAGCTAAACTCTTTCCCATCAGCAGTTAATGATGATCCCTATTCATTACTGTTCTCTTTTAATTTCTTTTCATTGCAGCAGCTTATTTATTTCATTCATTCATTACCACTTAGTTACAAAATAACTGGCTAAATAAACACATTTGTTTTTGCTTAGATTCGTTCTGCAAGTTTTCTAAGTGAGAAAAACAGAAAGATGTCTAAAGCAGACAACTGTTTCTTTTCTTGTTGCAGCATAAAAAGGAACGAATCATGCAGTTCTCTCAGCAACTTCGTCCACTATGACTTCCTGCAGCAGAAACTGAAGGGTTTAGAGGACGAGAACCGCAAACTGAGATTAGAGGTATGCGTCACTGCAAAGTTCTCACACAGAGTGAATTGAAATGAAAGTTTCTCAAAAATGTAAAAACAAGTAAAGACATTCAGCATTGTTTTATGGTCATTTCTGTTTAAAGTTTAGTTTTCCGTCTTATTATACATTGTATAAATGTAAATACAAGCTAAACACACTTCTAACTATAAATAAGTCATTAATGTACGTTATTTCTGCAGGCCAACGAGCTCACAACCGAGACCACCAACTACGAGGAGCAAGAACAGGAGCTGATGATGGTGTGTGTGGAAGAACTCTGTAAGTGTTGACAGTTTTGTTTGAGTATATAAAAATAAAGCAGAGACGAGGAGTGACAGGAGTATTTACGAGACTTGTGTGTTTCAGCCACTGTCAATAAGCAGGTGGTCGACTTGTCAGAGGAGCTAGCGAGGAAAGTAGAGGACTCTCTCCGACAGCAGGAGGAGATCAGCTCACTGCTCGCTCAGATTGTTGACCTGCAGGCCCGTTGCAAAGGGGTGAGCGAAACACAAACACACACACATATTCACTCACCAGGCAAGGTGCCCTCAAGGTGCTTACATAAAACAGTTGCTGACTTTTTAAAGAGTTATGTAACAGGTCACATTGAATGCTGTCAAATGGATTTATGTCACATCACAATAAAACTTTCCTAACTTTCCTCTCTGTCCCTCTAGCTCACCCATGAGAATGAGGAGCTGAACCAAAACCTGAGTGCCTCCCGAGAGAGCCAGCTAAAACTTAAATCAGAGGCAAGACACTCACTTTGACCAAATATACACTTGAAGTTGGAACAGAATCCTTTCAAATTCTTACCTGAGCTCAGTTTTATTTTTCTTTCCAAATGGCTGCAATCAGAATGTTGACAACTAAAACAAACCTTTGTGCTTTCAAGTCTGCAAACATGCACAGGAGTCATATGTAAACATTTGCAAAGCTAACCTTCTTTTACTGAATGTTATAGTGGGACCAAACCATAATGTTTAGAAACAAACTAGTTACTGAACACTATTATCATGTTGAGAAATACATTTATAAATAAAATTATATCTAAACAGACTAATTCAGACTTCTGAGAGCCTCCACATGCTTACCCAGAAACACCTTCTCTGTGTCCCCTACAGTCCTGTGTATCTTCTTAGAAGCATACCTGATACCCAGCTTCTACATTGTGAATGGCACAATGTATTCTTCTTGTACTACCGTTTGACACATATGTCTCCCCCTGTCTGCAGCTCAAGGACCTGCAGGACAAGTACTCAGAGTGTGAGGACATGCTCCGTGAGGCCCGAGAGGATATCAAAAACTTGCGGAATAAGAGCTTACCCAACAGCACGGTGCAGCGGTACACTGCACTGGCCTCTGTCCTCCCCATGGACTCACTGGCGGCCGAGATTGAGGGCACCTTCCGCAAAGGCCTGGACACCCCAGCTCCCTCAGAGTACAGGTGAGTCTGTGATTGTGTGTGTGTATGTAGTAGTAGTAGGTATTACATAAATCCAAGTTGAATGACTGATGTTTTCAAAGATCGATGTGTTCTCATACTTTTATGCAGTGAACGTATGATGTTTACAGGCAATATAAGTATTCAATGAATTTTAAGGAATAAATTAAGAAATATAAATCACACTAAGAAAAGAAGAAAACAGTGCTTGTAGCTATATATCAGCAAAATGCATTGAGTGACATACATTCATAATCTTGTTTTCATTTAATATATTTTTAGTCCAGTGGTGAGTAAATTTACTCAAATACTGTACAATTTTGAGGTACTTGTATTTCCAATTTATTTATATTGATTTTTATAATGTGTTTGATGGGATGAGAACAGTACTTCATAAAGTAATGTAATTATACTTCTTGAGGCCGCTGTGCTCAAAACTAAGATGAAGGACAGGAACAGTGGGCCAAGGATCTTCTTTTTTCAGTCATGCTCCTGTAAAAAAAGAAGACAACAAACTACAGTATATCTGAACTGGGCGGATCATTTATTTGATAATAAAGTTGTTCGAAAACAAAGCAAAATGAGTGTAAATGAAAATGAACTGACATACCTTGTTTCTGTCATCCTGTTGAGCTTGACCCCCAAGGTCTTACATTTATTTTCCGCTGTCTCTGGGGACGTACATCTTTCTGCCTCATTCAGATTTTTGTCTCCTTTGCAAAAGCCATCGTTTGTCTCTTCACACTCTCTAAGTCTCAAGCTTTCCTGCTCTGCCGTCTTAACAGCTTCAAGCCTTTCATTCTCTTCCTTTCCCTTCCACATTGTAGCGCGCTTCAAAGCTTTGTTCAACCAGTTGATCTCATGTTTAGCGCGGATGTATTTCGTCCCAAGTGTCTTCTGTATATTTATGTTTTCTTGCATGAGTTTACTCTTCTCCTTTACCCAACTCATCTCCATGAACGTGAATTCCTTAACCTGCTTCCTCAGATTTGTGTTTGAGGAGACCAGCCTCTGGTTGGTCTTCTGAACTGATTGAAGGACTTGTCTAAGTGCAATCACTTTGGCTTCTGCAGCTGGACTGCATGCACGTGGCTTGCGATGTTTGCCAGCATAATCAGGCTTCTTTCTCTTAAGACAGAAATGAGTACTGTTAGGCTAAATTCACAATCACACACAAACAGCCTTTTACACTTACCTTGAAGGAAAACTGTAGCTATAAAGAGGTATTTCTCATTTAAGACAACAAAATCTAGCTAGTCCATCACAGGGAATCAGACTCATTCAGCCATACGCTACAGTGTAAAGTGTCTGAGTTAAAGAGCTGGAAGTAATTGTAGTGCAAGTTTGATGATTAATTCATTTTATCGAGCAATTTTTCACTAGTGGTCAACTATTTGAAAATTGGCGTGTGCACAGTTTTCCCCGCTGAGCTTATTTGTTTGTGTATGAAATATTTGTTGTATTATCATGTATTAGTACCATTATCATGGAACAGTAAGAGATTGGTTTGTTTTGATCAGTTTTGCCAACAGATCACCTGTAGGTCCTCTAAATTTCATAATTTGTTCCTATAGATTCAAAAAGAGGGGCTTTTTTTTTAAGCATGACAACAATTTAAAATTTGTATATAATTGTTGCAAACAGTCTGTCACTTTGGTCATTCATTTACTTTTAATTTGTTGGAGAATAAAATGATGTTTTCGTAGGTACATAACAGTTCTTTGTAGTAACGTTATATTAAAAAAATATGTTTTCATGCAAATAATTAAAAATAACAAGAAACAGGAAAAGAGTCTTTTATGATTCAATATAAAGAGAAACCCTGTTCACATAAATTCATAAAGTTCAGACAATTTAAAGGACTACTAGAAAAAGTGAATTAATATTAGAGATTGATCTTGGTCAGATGAGAAAAATCTTACCTTGTTTCTTCTCTTGGTTTGGTGCTTCATGTCGACTGAATAAAGATACTGAGGCTAGCTGAATGTAACGCTTTGAGTCAAAGTGTGTGTTGTTCTTTATGTTTGTATTTTCCTGTTGAGGAATAGTTCATTGTAGAATTCAGAAAGTTCTTTTGTCTCTGCTCAGTAAAATCATTGTAGCATGGTCAATCAGGATTTAGCAACATTTGAATGAAAATATGTTGACAGTTTTGGAGTGTTCATGTTGCCAGGCAACTGTCAATCAAATCTGATCAAACCACACCCAAAGAGTCCTGATGAAGCAGATAGTTTTGATTGTTAGGTAACACCGAAGGAGTGGGTGGGTATGTGAACTTGAACCATTATGCCCATTAATTTAGAGGGAACAGATCTGAATGGACACCCCTGCATAGGACAACAACAAGCATCCCTCTTCCATTACAAACTTTTTTCAGGTCTGCAGCTGAGATGAATGATGTATTTTCTGTGCAATCTTCTTATGGCCCCTAATGCCTTGTTTCTCCTGGCAGGAACCACCCGTGGCGTGTGTTTGAAACCGTGAAGGTGATTAACAAGGCTGTGAGGCTGCGGTCTCGATGCCACTCTCCGGGGCTGCCTGGCTCCAGCCCTGTGTCCACTCGCTCCAGTTGTACCAGCACCCCCCGAACCAGCTACTATGGTTCAGATAATGCCAGCTTTACTCTGGAGGACAAGCCCAGCTCCAATAATGCTCAGAAAGAAGACAACAGGTATGTTTGCACATACTTTCAGTATTATATCAAATGTAAAATCGTCATCATTTTATAAACGCATTTGGTATTTTCAAAAACCTTCTTGACTAGAATCTAAAATGACTTTCTTTGGGTAATTTCTTTCTTTAAATCATTGTTACATCTATTCCCCATAGTGGGCCAAAACGTCTGGGCCAGCCAGGCACACCGGGAGGCCAGGACCTCGAAGCCGCCTTGCGCAGCCTGTCAGCCCGCCAGCAGAACCACTCCTCTGAGCGGCCTTTCTTCGATGTGGAACGTGAGCGTAAACTCCATGCCTTGGCAGCAAACTGCGAGGAGGGTGAGGGCTCAAGTGGCTTCCTCACACCGAATGACAGCCTGGCCTCGAGCCCACCAGCATCGACGGGCACCAACTACTCCAATGGCAGCTCACGGCACTCCTGTGGCTCCTCGGGAGGATCCAGATCCTACCTGCCCGACCGCCTGCAGATCGTCAAACCTCTGGAAGGTAAAAGCATCACCTTGACACACAATGCATTTTAGTAAAAAACTGATTGTAAAAGTTTGTTTACAAAAAATACTTTAAAACTGTTGCTCAGATTTTTTTGTAATATCATGGCTGTATTTGTTTTGTGACAGACACTCACAGGATGAGTACAGTGTGACTCTTAAAGTTTTTGAACTTTCCCATCAAAACCAAGACGTTATAAATTGTACTTATTTTACAGTATAGTACAGTACAGTATTGTACTTATACTTACAGTATAAATAACGTCTAAGTTCATCGTATCAGAACTTGCGTCAGCTGAAGTTACTCTGTCATTGTCAGGCTCGGTGACTCTGCACCAGTGGCAGCAGTTGGCCAAACCAAACCTGGGAGGCATCCTGCATCCACGTCCAGGCGTCCTGACTAAAGACTTCAGGGAGCTCGAGGTCGACATACAGCACGTCTACAGTCTGAACGACCTGGAGGAGGATGAACCCGACCTGTCGCACCTCTCTGGAGCACACGGCATGGGTAGGACACTTGTAAACACACTGTACTCATGCTACACACTTTCCACTAGCTTTGTCATTCGCTCTCTAAAATCCATGTTTCCTGCTTTCTCCCCTTTTTATTCAAGTTTGTATTGTTTTGTGTCCCTTTTAATTGTTTAGTATTACTTTAGTTTCCAGCGTCATTGGCTATTGTAGTTTCTTATTCAGTGTAATTCTCCTCATGTAGTTTAACTTGCCTTTTCTCCCTCCATGACCTCGCAGTCTCTCCATCCGGTCCCAACCTCCCTCAGACCTCTCCCACACATACCATTACCACCTGCCAAGTCCTCCAACCCTCCCTCCTCATCCCTTCCTCCTCCACTAGGTAAGAATATACATACTGTAAACATACAATGTACTGTACCAGTGCCGTTGTGTGTTTTTTTGAGCGTGTTTTGATGTATTTGTGTATTTTTCACAGGATATTAAAGTTAAATATGAGCTTGAACTTGATTTTGTGTTGTTTTGATGGACCTGAGTTACCGTAAAACTCTGAACAAGGAACTGCTGAAATTTTGTTCATGAATCCACTTCATTATTATGTTCATTAATCCACTTTTGTTTTTGCAGTGTCACTTTTATTCAATAAGTGTGGATCTTCCAGATTTCCTCTCTTTCACGCTGCTTTTTCTCCCCCTCAACTTCTGCTCTTTACGCCCACAGTGGCAGAAAACGTCTGTCGAGGCTCTTTCTCCAACTCTAAAAGGAGAAAAGGCAAAGTAAGAGTTGATTGTTGCGGGCTTGCCATGAATGCTGGATTTCATCATTAATGACGGAGGCACAGTGCCATGTTTGTTTGACTAAATAACATCAAGGTCAAAGGTGGGGTCAACGATTCTAACCCAATACAAATTTAGCAAATATCTCCTCATCGTCCACAAGCTTTCTGCTCTGTGTGTGCGCTGAAAGAAAATCCAGTGTTTGTACTCAGCTCTGGCTCTGTAAATGAGTAACAAAGTGGATCAGACCGAGCCACAGAATACTTCCTTGTTATTTCAGCCAGGATTTGTTTGTAACGTTAAATGTCTTGCCCGCAGACAGCTTACTTTCTAGTTTGGCAAGATATGCTGCTGTTGTGATGTTAGTAGCAGGAGAGTTGTGAGTACTATACAACAATAGAAACAACTAACACTCTCTAGTTTTTACATTTGTGTGCGTGCATGTAGTTCGTTTGATGACGGTTTATATTATAATCTTTCTCCAGAATCAACTACTCCACCTTAAATAACTTTAAGCCTTTTCTGCCTAAACCTTGGTTTAACGTCAGAGACTGAGATGTTAAACATTTGCTGTGATCCAACTGAAATGCTCACAGCTACTTCAAAGGAAAATCATGCACTGTGCTTCTGTAATATACACACCCATCTCCTCCTGCTAACACTTAATGCTGCTAAGCTCTTACATGTGCTCTAACTTGTTTTCATTCCCCACGTACTCTTGGCTTGTTACACTGTTTTTATTGTCTCTTGACTTTTCTAGGTTTTCATCTCAACAAACCATGTCCTGTTTTATAACAGCTGTCACACTAACATGTTTATCCATGTTACAGCATCAATAGAGACACTAACAACAAGTGAACTAACGGAAACTGTTTAAATTGTCTTTTTTTTTTTTTTAACAATTTGGGTATGAACTTGCATGTTTGTGCAGCAAGAAACTGTTTAGTTATCTTCTATCGGCTGTGTTTTATTTTTGTTTTTAATTGTTTTGTTTTTTTTCATTGACAGCCTTCACTCTTTCGGCCTGCCATCTTGTCGGAACTGTGAGCTCGTGAGCACTTCATCGCCATCCCACCAGCAGTACTTCGGCCTGGGAAGCCGGACCACCACCACCACTACAAACGTAACCACTTCATCACTTGGACTCCTGCAGCTGCTGCAAGAGCGCGGTATCTCAGCCTCTCCTTATCCTCACCACACCTTAAATTACAACCTGAGTACAAAACCTTCACGCATCACAGCAAAAGACAAAGGTGGAGGCTCATCATCGGACAAAGCGGGGCGAGGGAATACTTTCAGTTTGAACTTGGTGGAAAAGCTTCAGCGTCTGGGGTTGCACAGAGTGGCGGCCTGGGGGATGACGGGCCGCAATGAAGCGGCGAGAGAGAAGCAGTCGCACATGCTCTGAAAGTCTGATGAGGGCCGGTCACCACTTAACTCCTTTCTCATTCACCATAGTGACTTTGCATCCAGCCATGTGATTCCCACTGTGCAGTTCAGGGCACCACAGCTCTGGGGTCCTGAAAACAAAAGCCACAGAATGTGCTAGAGCCATACTTTAAGTTGTCTGTAGTGTACAGTAATATTCTTTTCTATGAGTTTGTGTATAGTAGTTGTGTGTGTGTTGTGTGCGTGACATCTTCATCTCAGGACAATCACCTGTTCAACAGTCTGTCTGACTGCAGAAAGAGCTTCTTTTTACACAAAAAAGAAACATCATGAAGAAAAAAATATTTTTATACTGTGTTTTGTGATTGTCATTTTACACATTTTCCCTGCCATCGGTTTTACAAAAACCTCATCACCTGTCCTTTTTTTTGTTTCCAAAGTAGAATATCACTTACATTGTGTGTATATAACAAAGTTGTCATTTGGAAAAGTTAAAAAAAGACTAAGTGCAGTAAATTATTGTTAGTTGAAACCACAAACCAAACCACTGCTGTCACACTGGAGAACCTTGTAATGCACTAAAATACACTCTGGTCTTCCTGCTTATTAGCTGCTACATTGAGAAAAGCATGTTGTATATAAGATTGTCAAATATACTGAATGAAACACTGAAATTGATCAAGAAGTATTGCAATGATATCTGCTCCAAACAGGGACAGAAGATACAATGACTGAGCTATAAAATGTTGATAATGTTGACATCCTCTAGCTGTCTGCCCTACAGTTCATCACCTGCTTTCACATAGCACACGGTGTTATGGCTGCATGCTGTACAGCACCACCTGTCAGCTGCCTCTGACCGCGTGGACTTTATTCTGAGCCAAACCTTTCACCAAAAACAAATCAGGTGCATCAAAGACAGTAAAGCAATGTGTATATTTACTGTACTGCGTTGACTGAATATCTTGCTTGTACAAATCTGCTGTATTTCACATCATCAGGACTTTTGAAATTGCTGGGACATAAATGAAATCCAAACTGTTCAAAGTGAATTCTCCTGTGGCGTTAAGGGTAATTTAAAGACTAGTAGTAGAGTGTTTAAACAGAACGTTTCTTTGAAATCTTTCTGAACAATCAGCTGTAGCAAAAAGGCATAGGATACTGTGGATTAAAAAGGGAAGAAATCATGAACACAGGTTGTAATAATTTGTGTTTTGACTTAAACAAACCAAACCACTGTTTCTCTGCACTACTGTTTGTTCTGTGTTAGCATCACAGCTCTGTATTATGTCAGTGTGTGTATACATTACCACCTGTGAATAAAACTTTGCATTTCCATCAGTACAGTTTAGTATGTCCCTCTTACTGCCTTGATGAAAGAACACACGTGACTCTTGTGATAATTCTGCAAATAAGTGTTTATTTATAAAGTTGCAGGGAAATTAAAACATTGACTTTGTATAAAATCGGAACAAAAAGCAGTTAAGTCTGCCCTCTCAGTTTGCTGTTGGCATTGTTGTGTCTCACTCTGCGTCCCGCCGTCCAAAGTCCACCCAGCCCTGGTAGTCCCGGTCTGACATGCACTCGGAGTTCATCATCTCTGTGAACAAACCATTCCTACATGAACCACACACAAGGCTTCAGTGAACATATTCAAGCATCCTCGTGGAACACTTCCTCCCTCATTCTTTTATCTAATTGACTCAAGCAAAACAAAACAATTAAAGAAGAACTTTCACACCCCAAGCTAAAAGCATACCTGAAATTGCTTGCATTATTTGTTTGGTCACAATCTCGCGTTCATCCTCCGATAGGTGTGCCCGTCTCTCCAACCGTGCTGCTGAGTGAGCCCGAGGCGCCGGCTCCTGTCTGCCAGCCAAGTCTGTCATTTTCTCCCTCTTGGCTAGAAGCTGCTGCAGCACATTAGTCTCTTTAGCCTCTACAGGTGAGGATGCTGCAGTGGATACTAGCAGCGCAACCAACAGTGCAAACCCCATAATAACTTTCCCTGACATGTCTGTGAACAAGAAGAAAAAAAAGTTACAACTTACTCAAAATAATTCTATTGACAGCTGAATGAAAGAAGTCATCTGATACCTGTATGATGATGAAATGCGTGCACAACAAAATCCAGCAGGTCTGATGCTCGTGGTGCACACTGAACAGACTCTTTTATACCACAAGTTTGGTGTGAGCAATATGGCCTAAAATCAAAGACAAATAACAGTGTTCACTGATTGATTGGTAGACAGATGCACTGGGAGGATGTGCGTAGAGGAAACGATAGACTGATACATCTACAAACCCATTATTATACTTTTCACTTACCTGGAAAGGCCTTTTTTGCACAGCAATAACAATAAAACGAGTCAATGTGTTTAGATAAGAAATTCAATATTCCTTTAGAGACCAGCACAGAGGATCTGGTGTAACTATGTAGCCACTGGCTGGAAAACTTCACCGCTTTGAACACTGGCTTCCTTGAATCAGATATATCCCCTCTAAGCAGTTACTATTACAGTTCACACATATTGGAACAAGACACAGACACAATAGTTATTTTTCCATCTGTGCCTTAACAGTTTTTCACTTTATATTTTAAAAATATAATATTAAATTTAAATTATATTTTTAAACGGTGGATCATAATCAGGAAAAAAAAGCCCAGTGTGTCTAATTTAATGATTGGTTGGAGGTGATTATTGCCTTCATGTCATGGTGTGGCTCGGACTTTCCAGATGACGTACACTCTACCCTTTCAGTAAAAATACTACACAGTGTGGTCGACATTAACACTGTTTGCATACTGTATAGATTTGGGGCCAGTTACCGTGTGTCAATTTTCCACTGACAATGTGTGATGTATGTAGAAAAGCAGAAACAACATAAATGCAGCCTGAAAATATTATAAAGCATCATCTTTTCGCTGGATGTACTCTATGTGCCACATTAATACAACATGAAGTGCTATGAGGGGAAGTGACAGCAGGACAATGGAAAGCAGAGAATCCACATATACGTTCACCAACAGACAATACCTCAGGGTGTTCTGACTAATGAGTAAATCTTACAAGCCTTACCACAAATTAAACCAGAGGTATGATCTTATTGGAATGTTACTTGTTGGCTTCCACCATTAATTCTCATATGCCTCATGAAGACAATCACATGTCATAAGATTTGACATTAATGCTTTCACTAGACTAGAGCGACAGACACACCCATCAGTGAAATCTGATAAAGTGTCAGACTCCACATAGCTGCGACAGACAGCTTGTTCCTTAGCCTGTCGCTGAGATCAGATTCAAACTTTATCAGTAGATGCTCATCTCAGCTTTTTGTTTGTTTTCACAGATGTTCAGTTGTCAACTAAAAGATTTTTTTTTTATTTTAAGCTGCAGGACTTGTAAGGCAAGTGAAAGGTTACAATGAGTCTTTTACTTTTAGTATGAATAAAGTCGTGGTTGTCTAGTGGTGTCAGTAAAACAACAATTTCTTCAATATTAGTGCAGCTGCTTACATCTCTGGTCTAACTTTAATTTTTTTGTTCCGGATCATGTCCGAAAAAGTACACAATAACAGCAACATAAAAAAAAATAAAAGTTATGTTTGATATTTTATTAATAAAGCTTCACATTAAAACAAAAATAACCCTACGTATCTGCAACGGAGTGCTTTTTAAACTAATGGTCTTTAATATGGACGTGAGTAGGAGCTGCTGCCACAAACCAGTGGCGTGCAAAGTGTTATCTGTCACTTTCCCTTATGGGTGCGGCCCACAATGGATTGAGATGGCTTTTAGATTCTTGTGTCAATCACTTGAGGATATTTTAATCTGACCACATGTTAGATAAGCTTCCAATGAAAAGGAGTGCCAGTGTTGTGTATGTGTGTGTGTGTGTGTGTGTGTGTGTGTGTTGAGGTGGGGTGGGGGTCAGGCATTAAGTTCTTAGTTGTGTTTGTAGACATAGTTCCTAAATGATCTCTTATGTCATTAAGTGTTTTGCCCACTCCCTTTGCTTCGCTGGAAAATAACTATCTTTAGTCGTTCAAAAGAAAACATTGAGAACCAGTCTTGGTTTCCCAGGCCATCCTTTCAGAGGTTTCTTCGACATATATGTGTTATAAAACCCTTTGGCTCTAGCTGAGCAGCAGCCACTGTGGACACAAGTAACAATTAAAGGTCCAGCATGTAACATTTAGGATGATCTATCTGTGTTTCTGCAGCAGCCCAGAATGGATAAACCAAACACAGGCTCTAGAAAGGGCCTTTTGGGTGTGGTGAGGGGAATTCAGTTGGTTGCAAGCCGCAGTGATAAATAAAAACAATTATATGACACCTTCACTTTCTTTTCTCAAAGCGAGAAACATTACACGTCACATTCATCTGTTCACACGCATTCATACACCGATGGCACGGCATCAGAGGGTGCTGAATCTTATTCAAGGACACTTCCACATGCAGCCTGGAGGAGCAGGGTCGACCCGCCAACATGATTAGTTAACTCTACCTCCTGAACCACAGCTACCCAGAGGCCACTAAATCCTACACAATGGTCCTTAAATGATAATTGTAAATGTTCAAATAATAGCTACATAAAAATAGTCATAAAGTCAGATAACTCAGTAATGTCAGTGACACAGAAACATAGGCTATATATAATTTTTACATTTGCTAACATATATAAGAGACATATATCAGGCCGAATGTAGTAAATTTAGTAAGGTTTCATTTTATTTCTTATAAATCAAACTTTTAATTTATAAGAGCAAGATTGTGTTATATCTTTGATCAAAAGAGACATAGTGTTGCTTTAAATGAATGATCTCAAATACTAGAGGCAATACACTGTGCAGTTAGAAATACCTGAGCTGATGTTCAACCAGATAAGTGTCATTTTAATCCGTTACAGGATAAGTATGACTGACTCTGGAGAAGAAAAAAAAACAATTATCTTTATGGATTCATATCAATTAGGCAGCAATCAAGCTGTCAGACTAGATATTCAACCTGTCTTTCATAGATCAGCACTAGCTACTGTACACACCTAAAAACATTAGGCTATCTGCATACCACACATTGTGGCACGGGGCCAGACAGTGTCTCCCTCTCCCAGAGTCTCTATAAAATGCCCAGTTGTCTCCGGCAGCAGTACTCCTCGGAGACTCTCCAACTCTGCTCATCACCTGCAGGTCAGCTCCAGCTCCAGCTCCAGCTCTCACCATGTCTGTCCAACTCAGCCGCCAAAACAGCAGCTTCAGCTCCCGCAGCATCAGCAGCTCACGCAGCATCTCCAGCGCCAGCGCCATGGGCATGAGCGGAGGGTTGCAGCTGGTGGGCTCCGGCCAGACCCGCATCTCCAGCGGGCCCTTCCAGACCCGCGCGCCCAGCGTGTACGGGGGCGCGGGAGGATTCGGGACGCGCATCTCTCAGAGCCAGTCGTTCTCTGCCGGGTCACTGACCCCGTACGGCGATATTGGAGTGATCAGCAACGAGAAGGGGACCATGCAGAACCTCAACGACCGCCTGGCCACCTACCTGGAGAAGGTAAGCCATGATGAATATGATGATGGTCAAACTGCTGCACAAACCTCTGAAAAACTCATCTTATTCTCATCTTCATCCGCTTATCTGGCCACATCGGCCAACTGTGACTGGGGGATCCCGAGGGGTACCCAGGCCAGTGTTGAGACATAATCTCTCCACCTGGTCCTCAGTCTGCCCCGTGGCCTCCTTCAAGTCTGAAAAACTGATATTCTTAAACTAAATGAAATGAGTGGTAAGACATTTTATTGGGCAGTCCCTCCTCATAAAACCCGATGAATGCACATTATAGGATCTCTCTAACACACGCATTCATACCTTGCATGCACACAGGGACGCACAGGTTTAAAAATATATAAAAAAAGAGTCAGGTGCCCATATGAACACAAAACAGGTGTTCACACTGGTCGTTAAAAGATCCCTTTCTAATGCACTCTCAATGTAAGTGATCCACAGTTCTGTGTAAAAATATATTTGAGTTTATCGGAAGTTGAAACCTCATATTACCTTCAGATAAGCTTTTGAATACATTTAAACACAGAATTGGGACTGTGGATTTTGTCTCTATAATTAGTATAAATGATTGTTGCATCTTGACTTTAAAATGCTTCTTACACATGAACACAGTGATATTACGTAATGCATCAGGCCTAATACTATGTAGCCTATAACAATACACTTGAGAGCTCTCTGCTGCACAAAGAGTATTTTTACTGTTGATACTTATACATATACACATATTTTCTTTGTTGTTATTCTCACATAACTTTAACATAAGTAAAAGATTTGAAAACTTCCTCCATCACAGACAAAGAAGCAGATCAGAGAGGATGCAGTCAGTAGACTTTATTAAAGGAAGGTAAAATAGACGTAATGTATGTGTGTGTTCTATAACAAATCAAAACAATCATAACAAATGAACATGTGAATAAACCCACCAGGAAAATAGATAATATAGACTATGTTAAGGAGATGCTCCTTAACATAGCAGCTAACGTAACGTGTATAATACTGTAACAGTTTGATTCTTAAAAATTTTTCCACATGCCAGCCAGGAGTTATGAGCCAGAACTAAAGTGCTTTATAAATGTCATATCTCTCCTTTGTCTCCTGTCATTGTGTGATGTCATCCTCTGGTTGTGTGTGCAGGTGCGCTCCCTGGAGGCAGCCAACAGGAAGCTGGAGCTGCAGATCAGAGAGTTTTTTGAGAAGAGAGCTCCTACTGTTTCCAGAGACTTCGCCGTCTACTTCGCCACCATCAGTGACCTCCAAGCTCAGGTACTGCTCACATTTTACAATACAATAAACAAGACAGCATCTTTTTGGTGTGCAAACAAAGATGCAACCAACTATTTTACAGTGGTTAAAACTGCATCTTTGTTTGTCATTTCAAATATTTCAGATTTTTACACTGTGACTAATTTATTGTTTGAGACATATACACACAGTGTTTAATGTGCATATGTAACA